CATAATTGGGTACCGTCCCAACTCCCCTCTACAGGCATTATTTGATGCCTTCTTATGAACCCCAAGTACTCTTTTGCAGAACTTAACATGAACTTTTTCAATTACCAATTTGTCTGAGAATAATTTTGAAATGAAATTGTCATCATCAATCTCAGACTTGTTAGTTCTTGATCCTTTAAAAGCATTTGTCAAGAACCCACCCCAAACATCCACACCATAAAGTATAATTGGTTTAACTAAAGAGTCAAACAGTTTACTTGCAAGACTTGCTGAGTAACACTCATTAGAATCCCAGAGCATTTTAAATAACTTAAATAAAGCTTTCTGGGCTTTGTCTTGTAACCTCGACGTTGCTTCATTAAATTTCCCATTAGTCTGGAAAATAATGCCAAGGTAATTGTAAGAATCAACACATTCTAGTTGTGTTCCATTTATAAAAAACTTAAATTTGTCATTAAGATTCTTGCCATTACCAATAATAAAGGGCTTAAATTACAGCCCTGTCTCACTCCTCTGTGCGAGTCAAAATATGGAGTTACTCCTCGGTTTAATTTAATATTGTACCGTGGATTTTTATAAATTGACTTGATAGCAGCATAGAATTTTCCACCGATGCCCAATTGAAGTAATTTATAGAAATATATTTATATAAATATTTATATAAATATTGTCAGTGGTACGATGGTTTTTCTTAAAACCAAATTGGTTATCCTTATCTTGCTTAGTTTTATTCCAAAGCTTATCGTTCACAGGTGTTGCGATGACGTTCGTCTTGCATACATTATTTGTTATCTGCGCATGTACAGATCTTACAAGATTACATCACGCTCATAAGTATAAGGTTGAAGGTCACGACACTACATCCCTCCTTTCTTTTGATAATGTCTATAACGGTATTCATTGTTCATAATGAGACGAAAATGTCACATGTACACAGTATTCATGCATCGAATAATCAACGAGAATTGAAAAATACACAAGAGTTTTGAAAATACTAAACACAATTAAACACTATACTGTAAAATGACTAATTTTCACTGGGTTTAAATTTTGATGATTTAGCATTTCAGGCATATTCAGTGGGTTGTAAATTCACGATTTTATCATTTAGATAATGTATTCTATGCTAAATTTTACATATTCACTGGGTTTTAATTTAGCACATTTTCCATTCAGCGAGATAAGCAAAACTAAAACCCAGTGAATAATTAACCCTTTTACAGTAAATTGCATTAAAACATGAGTGAGGGGAGCGACTTCCCTCTACTCCAATGCCATTTGTTGCTGGTATTATTATGACCAGTTTTTTTGTCAAGTGTCATATGGCATATATGTTTAGAACTAATCTACTCAGTCACATAATTTTGAAGATACTGTGGCTGCTGTCTCTCTCGAGTGAATCTACGTGGAAGTGTCTGCTGACTGGGATGGTTGTTTGGATTGTCAATCAACATGTCCTCATTCTGGGATGTTTCGATCTGAGGATTGTCTAATTCCTCTTCTTCACTTGGAATCTTCTTGAAGAACAAACTATTTCACGACACTACAATCACTGTTATGTTTTACATATTATTATTGATTTATTAAAATTGGCATATTTACATTCTTGGGTGAAAAGTCCCATGTATGTATGATTGGACTCCCTGCCCTAAAGAAAATTCAATCACAATTAGTATACCGATATGTCACATATCATGTTCAAGGCAACAAATAAATAATATTCAATAAGATAACCTTAACTTATTGACGCAGCGCAACGACTACAGCTCTTCAAATTAATCGATATAAGTCATTAAATTAATTTATACCATGACAGAGATTGACACAATAGTCGGTTGACCATAGAATCCCCTACCATAGACATTCTAATTAGACAGTTTATCATTTTTCCATGTTTTCAGGTGTTTCTTTTCTCAGAGAATGATGCAAGAGTTTTCCAAACACGTAATTGTACGGGTGTGCATATTTTGTGAGACGTCCACTTCCATTCTCCATTGGTGCGCCCTCATTGGCCCATTTAAACAGACCACCTTCCATGTTGTAAACATCCAAATCGCTATCTAAAAAGAAGACAAAAGATCATAAATGATTTTTGTGATCTATTTAAGTTGACTAAAAAATCAAATACGGAGATTGAAACATTACCTTGACATGCCTTCATCACTTTTTCAGCAAGGACACATGATCGGTAACCAAGGGAGCAGTACAGTACAACAGTCTTTGTAAGGTCTTTCGACTCTGAAAGTGAGAAAAAATCAGATTTTTACTGATCAATTGAACAGGATATACAGGTAGTCATGTCCATCTTTAATGAGGGGGCCAAGGGTTATTTTCGTTCAAAGTAATTGCAATATTTTTTTGTTCGTACAAAGTCAATTGAAAAAGTAAATTATGTAATTCTGTAATCACAGGCTTGATGTACAACGTAATCGATCAAATATTTTTTTTGTACACTGTAATGTATAATTTTTCTTGGTACATACAAGAATTTACATCCAAATCAAAAAAGTCGTAAAGAATAAAAAATTTCAATTTTCACTGTAAACTGTAAAAACTTCTTTTTTTCCTTGTAAATTGTAAAAAGCCCTTTTTATTCCCCGTAAAACTGTACCAGCTACCCTCCTTGTTCTCCCTCTTTCATTATATAAGGTATCTTTAATTATACTTCCACTATGAGGTCTTGTATTTTAAGGCAATGTTTAATAAATTGTACAGTATTGATCTGTGTACTACGAAGACTCGTTATAGAAATAAATTTTCTATAGGCTAGTGCACTGTGGTGTCATTTGTTTACATGCGACACACTGTGATGTCATTTGTTTACATGTGACACACTGTGATGTCATTTGTTTACATGTGACACACTGTGATGTCATTTGTTTACATGTGACACACTATGATGTCATTTGTTTACATGTGACACACTGTGATGTCATTTGTTTACATGTGACACACTATGATGTCATTTGTTTACATGTGACACACTGTGATGTCATTTGTTTACATGTGACACACTGTGATGTCATTTGTTTACATGTGACACACTGTCATTTTGCAGGTATGCAGCACATTGAAGTTCATTGATCAGCACTAGCTTGCTATCTGCTGTGACAATGTTAAACTGGGACACATAGACTTCATTTGTCATAGGCCACTGAGATCTTATTGAGAGTGGGGAAGACATGCGACTTGTTTTGCCCCCCCCTCCAATAATGTTCCATTCTCTACTGCCATTGCGTCCACTGTTCCCACTGACCAATATAATCATGGTATTTGGAACTGTGGAAGAAATGACTGTAAAAAAATAGAACACTAGTTTTTTTCAGATTTATGACAGGAATTTCCCACACAAAAAATAAAATAAAGCCAGAAACAAAAATTAGATCTGTTTCTTGTTTCAGCTCCGAAGGCCTCTCGGACATTTTTTTTTTTTTATTTGAATAAAAAAAAAGGGGGAATGTGTCTGACATTAGTGGCGCAATATATTGTGCAGACTTTCTTGATGAAAATTGCATCACCGCATTGTTTTTTCAAGAAACTTTGGAGCAGAAACAGATATTATTCGGCCTAACTGCATAATTTGTAAAAAAACAACTAATATTCAACTTCAGAAAACAAATTGTTCAGAAACATTTGAATTTTTTTTTCTTGGCCTAATGTTTTAAACTGTAAATGTATTTAAGCTTGACCAATACATTAGTTAGAAGTGAACACAAGATTTTTACAAAAGTTTTCACTTGAGAACATTGTTTTAAACATTAGTGTAAAGTGAAGTAATATCACGTTGATCTAAAAAATTGATCAACCCCCCAAAGCGCCAACAAACTTGAAAAATGAAAACTTCAAAACTCAAAAATATTTTAAAGGTGCAATCTAACACCATACCTTCATCAACACTTTTTTTAATTTGTTGCACGACATCATCCATATGATCAGTAGTATAATCAATTCTGATAGCACCGGGAATATGGCTTACTTGGTATTCTGAGTCTGGTCTAGAATCCTTAAACATGAGAAAACACCAAATGTACGTATTTATAGGTTAGTGACTGGAATATGATCTAAATGTACAGACAATATCTGGAACAGATGCACATTCTTCTTTACTGAATCTTTGAATTATTATTTATTTTGAACATAATTTATATAAGCATTAGTGCTATCAGAGGTACATTACTTGGGGTTTTCAACTACGGTGACATGATACCAAGATCCTGTTTCAATCTCGTTCTTGCATAAGCGTTCCAACTCAGAAAAGTGCTAATGCGCATGCCCGAGGTAACTAGGATACTGGGATGTTCAGGTGGATCAAAATAACTGCTCATGATATGACGGATTACGATAACTATATATTCTGTACATTTTCGATGTATTACATTTTTGATTGTTTTATTACAAACCGCCTATGTCATGTCAGAATGTCATAGTATCATTCTCGCTATCTACGAGATGAGACTAGAATGGGATCTTGGCATGATGTCACTAGACAGTACTATGCGTGTTGCAAACCCCAAGTAATGTACCTCTGGTACTACTAATAGACTAAATATGGTATTGCATTTTTAAATGTAACAACTTACCACAACAACCAATGGTCTTTTCTCAATAATGTCACCCACTTTAGTCGATGCAGATCCTTCTTGCAACCATGTCTGCACTACATCAGTTTTCACACACTTCACAGTTGGAAATTTCTTTTTAAATGATGAAATGGTCAATCTCATCGCAGTACTGCCCTCTCTGGTACCTGTACTACTAAAAGAAATCAATCACAATATACTACTAGTATTACCGTAGCAGCCTGGGCACTTGAATCATAAATTGAAATAAATACACGTTTTTTATTTTTGTTGTTGAAAGGGCAGAAGTTTTCACTATTAAACTCAATAGTAAATACCTTAAAAATCACTATTTTCATGGATGTTTGACCCATTTTTTTCGTTTTGCTCAGTAACCATATTTTTTTTATCTAGAGTTTTGTGAACAACAGGATAGAATATAACAACATTGAATTTAGTTTGAAGAATTCTGATGATCTGTTTTAATGATAACCATGGAACTATGGTTTATAGTTCCATGTGATAACCAACCTTAATGTTATATTGTCAGCAAAATTGAATTGAAAGCCCTTTCAATTTTTGTAAATTGGGCAAAAATCAAATTAGAAAGTTATGGTGTTCGGAGTTATATTAATCCTGACATATACAAGTTATTATTTGTCTTCACAATAAATTCTGTCATGCATCGCTGTTCAAATCCTGCTTCAGAAGCGCGCTAAACAAAGGAACTTAGGAAACACGTACTTTTCCACGAGTCCATGCAGTCAGCTGCAATGGGTAACATAGGTAAAATAGTTATCCTATACATTAAAACAATTACATGTACTGACATTTCTTGTGTTCGACTTCATAAAGTACATGCAAACAGAAAGCAACGCTAAAATTTTAACAAAACACCGTAACTGTTGAATTTATTTATTTCTCACATGCCGAAAACTTTAACCAATTGAAGTATGACTGACCTTCCTTCGTCGTCCAGCACGTTGGACTCTCCCGCTGCCGCTTCTGATTTACCTCCGCCCCACCACGAAAACAATTTAGAAAACATGATTTTCACTGATTAAAGACGACACTTAAACATGCGCGTTATTGGCGTATTGCTAATATCATACCAAATGTGACCTCACAGAAGTTTACAAATCAGGGATACTTGCGACACCATTTCGAAAGCGGAGAGGGAATCCCGAGCAAATAAACGATCTGCGCATGGGTTTCACGCACATTTACGTCATATCTCGATTTACTTCCGGAAATCCTGCTTGTCGTTCACTGCGGTCGTGACACGTAATCCGCCCTCAAACACATGAAAACTGATATTTTTAGAACACTATCGTTAGTTGTACTGTTATATGTTTAACTCGATTGCTCCGCCAATTTGAAAGATCCAGTACAGAATCTTTCATTTTAGCGTTTTAGTTTGAAACCACGCCATACTACACTGATCTTTTGTCCAATATATTTACAAGCGAAGATGGCGACTGTCAAGACCTACGTGATACTATCTGCTTTCCTTATTCTGTTTGTTGCAAAATGTAGTGCCGAAGACGCATCCATCACTCAGCAAGTCCAACAGTTTATGAAACAGGTAAATTATGAAAGCACAAGCCGCAATTAAATGTCCGTTGCACTCACTTTGGCTTCTGCTTTTCAGACCATGTGGAGGACGCCAGACAATAAAACAGTAACCAATTATCTTCGTATTGCTGCGTGTTAATTCTGGTATATTGGGTTTGTCATTTTCACTTTCATTTTAAAAATACATATAGAAAAAGGTTCGCCAATATTTGTCGTATGTTGTGCACTAATATTTTGATGGCAAAACATCCGTTGTCCTTTCGCGGTGTTTACTATGACATTGTCATAGCCCGTTTCCAGTTGTTATATTTTTTCTCAGTTTTTTATTTATTTGTAGGAAAAAATTATATATAGCCTATAAATAGCCTATTTTTTCTGTTTTTGAGTAATTTGGATGCAAGTTTCGTCTCGCTAATTCTATATAATATGAAAAGTAACTAGATGTACTTTGTGATGAATACAATTTAATACATTTAATCATTATTTTCATGAAAACAACAATTCATAAACATGCATTTGCTTGCTTGGGTTTAAAATTAGAACCTGGATCTTTATACCAATCTCCTGTAAAATAAATAGAATTTGTTGATTACATGTATTTTTTAACAGAGAAGGGATCCAAAGGTTTGCTTTATTCTTTGTAACACATAAAGTTGAATATTTTTTTATGATTAAAATAAAACCTTGATATTTAATTATGAAAATTAATTAGTCTGTACACAACATTAAAATAAAATGTCTTCCATAATAATAAAGTACTTAAAATGTATTCACCTTTAGCTTATATGCAGGCATCTGATGATAGAATGCTATGTAGCCTTACAGTGACCTCACGAGTAGGCTTGTAAGTTTAAAAAGGTCATCACTTCTTGGAATGTCTAGGTGCATGTACATGTAGTGAATAAAACATCACAAGTGTATTGTTGTTCATTTATGTGTGTTTTTATTTCCATGTTTCGATTTTGCTATTTTTATTGTCTAATTCTCTTTCCTTTTTGTTGGATAATATACATTTCAATAATTAGCATTTCCAACAGTTGAAAGGGCAACTTCTTATCTCACAGAAATTTCACTCACTGGATTAAAATTATGAGTGAAAACGAAAGACAGACTTATTAATGTTAACAACATAAATACATGTTGTAGTAATGTTCCATGATTTCCTGGTGCACTCTCTTTTAAGTGATAATTACATTTAATTGAAGAATTTGAGTTCTTTAATTTTATAAAGCAAGAGAAAATAGGTCAAGAACAGTGTATATCTCCCCCCCCCCAATGGCTCATAAACGTTTACTCCTTTTGATTGAATGTTATTGATAAGGGTTCAGCTGAAATTGACAAGGTGAGAATCATCACCATATGCCTGGATGATGGATGCATCAATGATGAACACTCACACAAGATATGTGTGAATAACTTGATAATACATGTATCTAAAAATATATGATTTATTTTTAGATATTGACTATAGTGCAGGGACTGTTGTAACATGTTTTCAATTAAATATTCTAATGATCGGAATTTAATGTAAGAATTAATTTCAATTTTCCAATAATGTAATACCTAAGAGAAAATTTATCAAAATTTCGTTAGTCAATAAAAATTGTAAAATTTGGTAGATATGAAAATGTCAATGGGATCTGTCATGAAAATGTAAAAGTCATAAAAAATGTTCTCCACAAACTTGAAATTTTCCCAAATCTGAAAGAGTATATTTGTTGAACTAACTGCACACAGCTGCAAGCTCATAAAAATGTGTGCATGAAAATACCGCAGAATAAATATTTTCGAAAGTTTTGTTTAATTGTTTCCTCCCCTAATTTTCACATACTATACATCCTAATGCAAGACATACTAGTAGTATATGTATGTATTAATCCATTGGACTCCAATGTCTACTTTTGTCACCTCACTAAATACTAACTTGCACCTGACCTGTAAGCAATAGAAAGTTATGACTACTTTGGTGTGATAGTAACTAAGAAATTACAGATAAACACATGAAAAAGTGCACCCTCATTCAAGGGGTTAAACATTGACAGTCTGTCATTAATTATTTATTCTGTAGTATATGTATCTATCTAGGGAATACAAATAGACATGATTCTCATTTGAATATTTGAAATTTGAATATTATTTCAAATGCTGCTGGTATTGATAGTAAATTTGCATATCTGAATTTATAATGTGTTTAATCTATCTTACCAAGAGTTTTATCCTGATAAATGTAAAATGAACTTATTTCAATCTGAAACACAAATAATGACAAATATTCCTCTATTTGAAATAAAATAGTTTATTTTCAATATTCTCCTTGAAGAAAAAATCAAGGAAAATAAAATACAGTGAGAATGCCTTATTTTGTATTGTTTACTTGTATATATATACAATTGTCTGTGTTAATAACAGAATTAATGGTTTTCAGTGAAAATACAAAAGAAATTGTAGTTCAAAATAATAGCCACCATGGGAGTAGTGCAATGTACATTCGTGGGTTTCATTTATAATTAGTTACGCCTTGAGCTATTGATTCTGCCTTCAATAATGTAATCTGCTACCCTGCTAACAATGTTGTGATGATTTTGGAATATAATGGCTTTCTTGATGATATAATTTCTCAGAATTCCTTGAAACCATCGGATCTTAAAGATATTTTTCACTGCTACAAAATCTCTTGAGTTTCACTGACAAAGTGAGGGTGGGGAAAGCCCAATTCACTAGGATGATATTCGTTCACTGTTAAATAGGTGCTCGCTTTAGACTGTGCTTGGTTAACCCTGGGGATAGAGCATTGAAACAATTGCCATAATGATTGACTGATGTTAACACACACACAGACAGCCCTGTCATATACAAGTAATGCTAATTATAGAATATAGTTTCTGTGGCAAAACACTTTGTAAAACTATACTTGCACTTGTTGAAGACATCAATGAAATTCAATGTCATTACACATTGCCTGACATGATAGCACTTTAAATTAACTTACCCAGTATTAGAAACAGTCTATTTCTAAGGCTAAAGTAAAAAAAAATATAATTTCTTTGGTCATTTCATTTTTTTTTCTTTCAAATTTTCAAAAAAGCACAATTTTGATAAATTTGAAGTAAAAATAACAAACTATTGTTAGAATTTCTTGAAGGCATACATTAATGTTGATTATGTATTTTATTTTTCAGATGCGTCTGAATATACGAGAGGGATGGAAGGCATTTACCAAAACAATGCAGCCACATGTAGATAAATATCTTACTCCATATTTACAAGGTTTCTATACTTTTACTGATGAAACATCAAAAGAATTGTTTGGCATGGAAGGTATGTACTACAGAACTAACAACTACTATAAGTAAGGTACCTACTAGACTTAGGATATCCTATCCTGTCTGTGTCCTAACCTATCTCCACATTATGAACAGTCCACGAGAAGTTTAGGGGACTAGCAAAATAGATTTGCTTACAAGTTTTATTTATTTTATTTTTGAACAAAAATGAGGAAATTTAAAAAGAAATTCCTGAAAACAGACAAAATAGAAAATAATGGAATGATCACAAACGAATTGTGTCCCTTTCATGTGGCCTCAGCGGCACAAACTACGTTTGCAACTAGCAACGTAATCGCATAACTGCAATGTAGGTTCTATTTCTGAGATAACAATCAAAAACTACTATAATATGCAATGACATTTGATAGAAAAAAAACTACTGTCTGCTTCTAACACCGAATAAACGGCAAGGTAAAGACTATGTCTAATTATAGTAAACACTGGTACAATGCTGTACCATTACTTTCACCATCCTACTACAGCCAGATCTGAAGGCCTTTGCCGCATTCTGGCCACGCTGTGTGGCGTGATCGCGTGGACGGGTTTCATGTTCTCTGCACGTAATAAGCTCGGTTATTAAGCATCCTTTTTTGGGGATGCCCAGTGGCCGAGGGGAAGACGTGTAATGGCGTGAAGCTAGGCGATTAGGTGCCGTACGCGAGCGCCGGTTCGAGTCACGCACGCAGTACATGTTTACTATAATTAGACATAGTCTTTACCTTGCCGTTTATTCGGTGTTATTTGCTTACTTTACTTCCTATGTCAACAGCAACTATCTTATTTTTTTTGCAATCAGTCACCATCATTGCACTATTTTTATGTTAGCCATTTTCATCTTATAAGACATGTCAAGAGTTTATAAAGACCTGGATAATTTGTTAATAATTATTGCCATGAGGATCAATATTAGAGAGACTTACTGTTACAAAAATTCAAATTCAATTCATGACCATGTAACAGATTAGTGGTGTACGACTGAGTG